CTTTAGGTGGTGGCATCGGTCTTGATATGATATCATTGTTACTGCCGTGAAGATAGATACGTTTCGTGCGTTTTAAACCATGTTCAAATTTGCTCCACTTACGTACACTAGGTAGACCTTTGTCTCCCAATACACCTTTCCGGCGCGCAAAATCCATTGGTTTCATAGTCAAGTTTGAATGGTGGGAGTCTTGCTCAACTATTGAACTGTTTGTGGCACACTTTATATCACTAGATGCTCTTTCAATCCGATTTGAAGGCTGCGTTGGCACCATTTCTTCAATAAACTGTATGTATTTGCGATTCCGTAATTCATAAGTTAAACCCATTCCGACCTATGGATTTCTTGGAATGAAACAACGCTGATTATAAAACGATGTAGGAAAAACTGAATTAGTGACTCCTCTAACCTGCAGCGATACGGAATGGCGTGTCACTATTCGACGAGTTCGTAGAGACATTGGGAGAACAGGGACCTAGTTCGGCTGTGCAACCGCAAGAATGTCACCGTTTCCATGGAGTGACGACAACATTTTCCCATCCATCATCTTTTCCTAACCAGAGTTTGCATCCCCACGGCACCGAGCCCAAGACGGACCACTGTGAACTCTGACCTACGTACTGGGTAAACAGACATGACGAGCAGAATTGAAGCCGTGTCGAGTTTCGATGTTTTATGTCGTACAGTAGTATTAGTTCAAATGCACTATGTCAGGTCGTGTGGTACTTTCGGCAACTGAAGGTCGTGTAAATGGAGGTTATAGGGATATATATAAAAAAATAACATTATTAGAAAAGAGAAAAGACCAGACAGATCCCGGAGACAGATAGCCTAGACGAACTAAGGTGTTTCATTCCGTGTCTTTCTCCTTTTTTTGTCCTGGTCGTATTCATATAACTTTCCCCGTCCAATTATACTTTATCACTTCGCTTACCCATTCCCCGAATATTTTTCGAGGGGAAATATCCTAAAGATATAATTGACACTTAGTTAAAAATACGTCACACTTTGGGGGCTCTGATTTTCTCTGTAGTCAACGTTCGTCCCAAAATATAAAATCTCTCTTGGTTGCTAAGTACGCTACCCTGCATCCTCTGTAGTTTAACTATAGGCCCACTACAAACCGATACTATATGACATACACTGTAAAAAAGAATTTGTTCATTGGTAATTTTTACGTATTTTTTCCATGTAGAATTTACTTGAAAACATTAGTTTTGCCACTTACGCACTAAATTTAAGTCTTGCTAACTCAAACTTTCAATTTAGTAGAACATACGTGGAATATTTAAGTAAAATCAAATACATAAGAACTTTAAGTAATTTCAGCTTGTATTAATTTAGTAATTTTAACTCAAAATCAGAAATTATACGTATTACTCAAACAATTTATGTTGATTATTCTTATCTTTTTAAAGTAAGGACCGATGCAGTGCGTAATAGAAATATTTACATAATTTATGAATATTCATTAAAGATAAACTCCAGTACTGGTAAAAAAAAAAAAAATTCTCACAGAATCAAACGAAACTTACACTGAATGTTCAAGATTACAAATAAATGACATGTGCCAAACAATTTTGGAAGAAAATGTATACTGGCTGAGTAATGAGCATAGAAAGACAAGGAAATCAAGGTAGTACTAGCCCCGACACCATGTGTGTTGTCCCATATATAGCTTTCTATGTGAGTGCTTGTTACTTTACCAAGACTCGGTCAAATTTATTATGATTTTGATGACTCCAGAACCTTGCAGTGCACACCAATACTTACATGCTACATAATCAACTGTTTCTGATCCTTTCCACACCTTTTCTTTCACAATACAATCGCATTACCAGTACTAAAGTTTATCTTTAAACTCTTTTTTAAAATAAAACAATTCTTTTTTGTGGTTGAATGAAAATTTAAGGACTTTAAAACATTTACTAATTCATTTAACATGGCTAAGCAAAGACAAGACAATTTTTAATTGTTACCCAGTTCAAAACAAATCAAAACTTGATATTTCAGGAAATTGTCAACCAATTTTCCTTTTAAGATGCTACGATCAAGTATATATAAAATTTGGAGCCTTTCAATATGTGTCGAATTGAAGCGTATGTAATAGTTTGTGATGGTGGTAGATATATATATATATATATACGGTTAAATCTTAAATAGAAGTAGTGAATGTTACTTGTTAGATTAGATGGGTACCAAATCGTGCAATATGTAATCCTATCATAGCTTTTTTTTAATTATCTAAAATGATTACAATACTTAAATTATTTACGTTAATGTAACTCGATTTCACTGAGTAAAAATTTATTCAGCAAAATAAGTAAATTCTACTTAAGATGCCGTAGGTAATATTTACTTAATAAAAATAAGGCAATTCTTTTCCTCAATTTTATTGAGTTATTTCGACTATTATTTTTTTACAGTGTAGGCAGAGGTTTCATTGTGTTCTGACATTTGCCAGAAAGTAGGATGTGTATGATCAGGAAGTAATGAATGGCAATGCAATGTTAAAGAAAGGGGGTCTCCCACCACCACCCCTCTACCCCCCCCCCCCAAAAAAATACAGTGCATGAATACGGTTTATCAAAGGGATGGCTACACGCAAAGTTTGTAATGCAATTTATTGTATAATCGGGATTTTACTTCCAAAGACATTACCCTGTTTAGCCTCAATGTACCTCGAATCGACGACCCCCCCCCCCTCCCTCTATAATATGTTATTAGATTTTACTTTTTTTTAAATTAAAAAACGTTAAACAGGAAGAATAGGAGAAAATTGTTTCCCATATAGGGTAATGTAGTACCCGGGCAAGACATTAACATAGAAAAAATAACATAAACAATCATACACATGAAGTTATGCTTAATTCAATTAAAGATAGCGGAAGTTCATTGAGTAATATAATTCCATAAAATATCTACGAGGTAAGAATATTATACGACAATCGGTCAATCTATACGGGTTCTTTTTCGAAAAGTAAATGTTGAAAATGTGGTAATTGAAGTACATGGGGGAACCCCACCTCGATCCATTTCTTGTCGGTCTCTCGTCTAGTCCTTATAATCAATAATGGAATGGATATCATTCAGAACTATCAGATTGTCAGCAGGGGAACTATTCCCTGAACAAACCTTGAAAATCGAGTAGTGCGAAAAGAAAATTTGATTCAAAGAGATTGCTTTGTTTCCCCTTGTCCCTTTGCAATCATTAACGTCCTTCAATTGCCCGTTGAGTTTATGTACCCCGGTGTTTAAATCCCACTGCGTACCTCCAAAGACGAAAAACATTCGTAAAAGAAAAGAAATGTTCCTCTTTTTTTCGATGATGTTATCAAATTTTGAACATATCTCATGTATTCATGTGAAATGTGACGCTTTTTGGTCAAAATGCCGCTCACTGCATGAGGTGGATGTGACCCCATTCCTGCTCAGCTTTGCGCCTGCATGCCCGCCGGCACAAGAGGCAGGAAGGTCGGAAAATGTCTGAAGTCATGAATGAAAAAAAACATTTACTCATGCATACGAGAATGGAATTTTACTATCAGCAGTTTCAGGAAGAGAAGAGAACATACTAGAAGAAAGTTATATTATTCTCTCTCTCTTTATGAACTTAATTATAATCTTTGTAATCTAAAACTGCAGAGCCTTTCTCCAACCCACTTTGGATGTCCGTAAATCAGTTATAACTTATTGTAAATATTTTATTATTTAACATACATATTTGGGTGGGGTTTGTTTCTTCAAATCAAGTACCAACAGAGTGAGATTGAGACGAAATTGAGAAACGATTCATGCTTATGTCCTCTGTCCATAAAATTGTGATTCCCCTAAACTTTTAATGCCCATGCCAAAGTCGGTTGTTATTCAAAAGAAATTATCCCATGTTACAATGCCTTCAAACAGTGGCGTACGCAGGATTTTTTCAAGGGGGGGGGGGTTAACATTTTGAAATCGGGCGAAAATTTCGCAACGACTCAGCCAGCCGCTGAATAAGCGGGGGTGGGGGGGGGGGGGGGGGGGGGGTAAGAGGACACTTCATTATTTTTTTTTTGGTCTCGAAATTTGACAATTTGACATTTTTCTTCGTTGAGGGGGGGGGTAAGGTCACCTTTTTTAGAGCAGCCATGGGCATAATTTTTTTTGTTTTTTTAATTATTTTATTAAAAAAAAAAAAAAAAAAAAGGGGGGTTTTAGGGTTTTTTTTTTTAAATACACACATAAAAAATACCAAAGGGGGAGGTTTAACCCCCTAACCCCCCCCCCCCCCCCCCCCCCCTGCGTACGCGCCTGCCTTCAAATAGTCTGCAGATCAGGTGTCTCAAATACATCCAATGAGGTGACTTCCCACTCAATATCTATGCCCTAAAATCACATTTACGTATTTAATTACTTGATGAGAATTTTAGCATTTGGAATTTTGGGGATCTAATACTTTTGGAGAAGATTCGAACATATCCCACCCCCCCCCCCCCCCCTCCCTCGAAAGAAAAAATCTCCTTCCATGTGTCTGCAGATGGGCGCCATTGCTCAAGGGGACCGTCCTCAACGTGGAACAGCTAGGAGCGTTGTAAATCAGGAATGAGCCTATTGAGCTAGGTGCCCGGTCTCATCAACCTTGGAATAACCTACCTGAAAAGGTAGTGTCTGCACCTACAATGGCGCCTTTTAGATTGCGTCAATTGAGAGCCCTTCCCTTAGGAAAAGAGGGCTAATCTACCACGTAAGTAGGTAAGAAAGTGGGTACCCCCCCCCCCCCCCCTTGTCTCCCACCTCATTTTGCGATCATCGTGCCACCAATATTGATTATGACACCTACAGACAATATAGAGGCATGTTAGCCTATAGTCTGGTGAATAATTATGTTGGATTCCCTATATGGAGTAATATGGGTGTATATAAAAAAATATAACCGATCCAAATTCAACTTTTCAATAAGAAACTCACTCACGGGGCTCACTTATAGGCGATTTCAAGTGTCTCTTCAAATATTTTGTTCGTGTATTTGTTACAGCAGAGACACCGTACAAGTGTGGGCCTTTCATACAATTTTTTTGTCGACAAAAATTCAACATTTTGACGCTGGGTAAGGTTCTTCTGGTACTCAAAATCCGAAAGTAGAAATTTATGATATACATGTACCCTAAAAACATTAGTTAACTCGTAAATTTTGTTTATTGCGATAATGATGATCAAAAATATATCTTTTAAAATCATGCGTCAAATAACGGTCCCATATACTGATCAATGTGTTGGCGATCTCTCCGTAGAGTTTTGCGCATTCATCACTCATTGTCATTGGCACTCGTGTACTACGTCGACTACTAAACTAAGTAGTACTAACATGTGGTTGTCTTAGAAATCTAATGTTTTCTTAAATTTATTGATTTAGTAGGATTAGATATTCTTCAATTATATCTTTGAAGAATCCTTTCTACTTTTTATGTTGGTTTAAATTAAACCAACAAAAAATGGTTAATCATCAATCAATGATTGGATTATTTTTGTATGGAACGTGTATGATGTTGAGAGAGTCTGAGTCACTCTGAGACTGAGCTGAGACTGAGCTGAGACTGAGCTGAGACTGAGAGAGAGAGAGAGAGGGGGGGGGGCGATTAATGTTATTTCAAAGTTGATTTTCAGACGTCAATTTACAGACATGGCCTTTTGTTAGATCAGCAATAATGTTTGATGGCATGCACATTTGCACTTGGGTCAGATACCCGATGCCAGATTTTTACTTGTACCATCTTTAGATCTTAATATGTTTGATCTTATGCCTGACCTTATGTTTGATCTCAATTTTATTTTTATTTTTATTATTATATATGCATGATTTATTGCATAAAGAACAGATTTATATTTTGTGTGTTTAAAATGTAAGTTTTGGTTGGTACTTTTTAGTCAGACAGTGGTACGCTTACAAACACCCGTATTAAGCACCTAATAAATGTGTATTTTTACTATTATCATTACCAATACCATGCGCAGCATCAGCCCCGCTCACAGAATGGGGCAGTCACCTCGATACACAACATGAAACGATGAAAAAGGTGTTCACCTTTACCATGAGAACATCTCTTAATTGTTTCACTTCAATAAATGCCACAATTTTAATAAAAGATGGACTGAAATTGCATTAATTCTTATCACTGATTATTCAAAAATATACACTATTCTACCCTTTTTGTACCCAAGTATGAGCAAATATCATCTCTTAATAATTAAAGGGATTGGGTATCTTTGCCTCAGATTCTAAACAAAATCTGGGATTTAGCTCGTGCTGCAATCATAATTATTAACCTTTAGGTCAGAAATGAATCCCATAACTTTTAGAAGCCAATCGCATGTTTGATTATCAAAATATTTACAATTGGAAATCAAGATTTAAAAAAAACATGTTCATATTCCTTAGTATATACTATATATTATTAATTCATAAATCTGAGGTTTGTTATATTACAAAGTTATTCAATGTATTATTTATGACATGAAGTAAACGATGCATATTTATATATTTCTAGTGTTCACCTTTTAATAATCATATGTTATTCGCAATGTATCATTGTATTTTATCAGTATGTACATAATCGTCAAGAGCCCATTTTGTCTCTCTCTCTCTCCTGTTTTATGATCTCTCTGAATCTTTTTCGTCTCTCTTTCTTTTTTAAGTCAAACTTTTAAATTGTAATATTGTGTAAGATTGATGGTATATAGTATACATGTACACGCTCTTTATAATTATGTAGATTGTAGTGTGATATCTCTTGAAATCAAATGTATAATCGCCTTTTACATCAATGTTTTTATTCATGTGCAATTCAATTACTTGTTACTGTGATATGTCTTGAAATCTATACTTGCCTTTTACATCAATGTTTTATTCATGTGCAATTCAGTTGCTTGTAACTGCGATACATGGAAATAAATCAATAAATACCATTTATCTATATATCTATCATCTATCCTTAACCACCATTTCCCATGCCGTTATTCATATGTTTTGCACAATGATCACTAGATTCAGAGATTCTAGTGAAATTATGCCATTTTAGCAGTAGATTCTTTTGTTTTAAGTGTTACTTCTGAATTTAGATGTAGTATTGTAGTGAGATACAAGGGCCTGTGTCTGTAATTAAGAATGATTTTAATTTCAATAATCCTTTTTTACACTTGATCACCTCCTAGATTGACAAATATTTTGTGGCAGAGATTTACCAAATAATATTGGATATTTTACCCATGACATGTACCCTAATATTTTTGGCCAATCCTGTAATTGAAGGTTGTGATGAATGAAAATGTTTGCATATCAACAGTAATCATCTTATATTCGATGTCAACCGACCTTTAAGCTGCTAATAAGATATGTCTGTTTAAAAAATTGCAAATTCCCTCTTGTTGATTTCTGACATAATGAGTTCATTGTTTCCCCTTGCTCAACTGTACAGGTCTAAGCAGCAATGGCAGGACTGGGACACCTTTTGTCAAGGAACTCAGATTTGATAGGGAAATGTCTCACTGACTTCTCATGCAGGTCACTTAGGTAAGTTCTGGTGATAAACGCTGCATAGGAATATAATAGATGTTCCCTTGGTAAATGAGTATATTCACAATGGAAAACTTCTTGGAGCTGCTTACAAATTTATTCCAAGCTCGATCACTCATTATTTGCGATTTTCAATTTCACCTCATTTGGGGTGTAAAAACAGCAAAACACTGAAAATAGTATAGTTCCATTTCATTGAGTTCAACATCTCTTGTTCATTTTATTTATTTTTCTTCAACTTTTTCTTCATTCTTCTAAATACCCTGAAAGCAGGTTCTTTCAATGAAAGAATATATCAAATCCTTCATAATTTTTTATATTCTCATATTCAATCATTCCCTAAAATTATTATACAAATATTTTTTTGTGGTAATGTTCAATTGCTGAAATTAACAACTTAATGTTATGTAATAGTCAAAACCAGCAAATAATCAAAATACAACCAAGAATTCAGAGAAATACCTTCCTCTTATCGTAGCTTCCATGCAATCATCATCTTCACCTTCATTGTCTTAAGCATGAAAGCTCTCCTATTTCCATACTCCAAGGAGTTTGGACGTAACATTCTCCCATAAATTAGATTTATCTCTGTTAGGAAAAGAGTTACTGAATTAACTAATTGCAGTTTGTTTATATGTATTATTAATTCTATGATCAGTTCAATTTCTAGTTCAATTATGCTTATGCTTTTTTTTTCTTCCTTGATGATTCCAAATAGTACCACCAACCCCTGCAGTGCTATCATCCTACTGAGCAGACTACGATGTGTTGATAACTCAGCTCTGGGCGCTGAGACCATCAGGCACAAGCCTCCACGATGCATCCACGTCTACAACAAGCAGCGAGTCGGGAACGTCGGAGACAAGATCCTCGTGGCCATCAAGGGGCAGAAGAAGAAGGCATTGATAGTCGGCGTGAGGAGACCGGGCGAGAGCATGCTGCCTCGGTTTGATACGAACAATTTGATTCTCTTAGAAGAGAATGGCAACCCGACGGGGACGCGGATAAAGGTTCCGATCCCTTCTCATCTGAGAAGCAGACCAGAGTTTTCTAAAGTATTCGCTATTGCTAGTAAATTTGTATGACAATCTTGGAAGAGAAGAGGACTCGAATTTGTATATGACATGTCGGAGTTGAACATTGTGCTTGTTTTCAGCAAGAGAGTCATGAAAGTGGTGCTTTCTTAGTTTTAAATCATATTCATTGTAAATCCTAAAAATGAATAAACTTTATCAAAGCAATCAATCTTGTATGCTGTTTGGATTCTGATTCATCACTTTTTCTTACAGATTAAAAAAAGCATTAAAATCATTCAACAGTGTGATGCAGAACTGGTAATGTATTCATTTAAACTTGTGTTGTTGCATTGTTGTCCATGAAAGGATGATTTAAATGGCAATTTCCCTCCCTCCCTCCCTCCCTCCCCCCCCCCCCCTCTCTCTCTCTCTCTCTCTTTCATACATAGATTGCATGTTGTTTGATGGTTTGTTTTACCTGACTGCTAATAAAGCATGTGTAAGCTTGTAAGTAAGAAACCAAGGTACCAACAACTTAAAGTCCTCCCCAGTGGACTTAGTAATGAGGATTAATGCCTTACCGAAGGGCACTAGCCCATCAACTTGGTTTTGAACCAGGTTACGGTTACGAGACTAACGTTCTACGATTTATCCATGGTGTCTCCATTAGAGTCCATGTATATTCTCAGCTGTTCTTACTCCTTCAGGTGGGGCATCAATATTCTAGTGAGGGTATGGCTGTAGACCACATCCTTCCTTTTCCTCTTCTTTCATTCAAAACCTGCAATTTCTGTAATTCTGTACTTGTAGATTCATTGACTGCAGATTTGTAGCATTTCAAGTCTTGGAAGATTTTCTGAACCCTTGTAAGTGATAATCATTAATGTGACAACCTTCACCCACCCACTTATAAAGACTAAGTTTTCTAGCAATGCCCCTGACAAGAAAAGTACCCTACTCCTGTCATGCTTGTAATAATGTTGTTCAACCCTCTTTAGAGATTTTTTTTTCTTCAAGTACATGTACCCCTAACTTTCGAAAAAACTCTCATGGATTAATCCAGGCAGGTGAACTTAATGGAGTGTTTTTTCAAAGGTAGTGCAATGTAGCCTGATAGATAACATAGGTCAATATATTTGTGGTCCAAACAAACTCTTATGCAGGACATGTAAAATTTGACTTTATATTATAATGCCAGTGTGTTTTTTTTCCTTCAAGTAGGACAAAAAAGAGGAAAGGAAACAGTCATCACATATACTGCAACTGACCATAGGTTGAATATCTTCACATTTATATCTATGTTTATTAAATTATCACTGCTACATTTTTACCCTAATTTATGACTCAGTTATGAGGTATAGATATGTTTCATTTCTATTTCTGCAAGTGCTTTTGAATTCATTTTCTTGTTTTGCCTTATTTAGAAAATAAACAACATTAAACATTTGTAATTGAGCTGTTTGTATCAATCATTTATAGAATGGATGTCTGTTTAGACTCGCACCAAACCTGAATACTTATTGGTCGCCCTTTGAAAGAAGGAGCACTTTATGCTCCCAACCATACCACAGGTATTATCAAATGTAGTTGTAGACATTTCAAATACATTGTGTCTTATGACATTTTTCTGCTCGAATTTGTGAGATCTTGCATACATACACGTGTATAAACTGTGTACAATATTTCTTGATGATGTCAATTAAAAAAGTACAAATACATGTACATAAAACATAATACATTTGTATTAGATGTTGTGCATAGTTGTTATTGTGCATCCAGTAAGGAGAAATTAAAAGAGTGGAAATGGTTGAGAAAGAGAAAGCGGAATGTGAATTAAATATTTAGACAGGGATTTGAATAACTGATCGACCAGTTGGTATGGTAAGAGCTTGAGCATGTTTATGTAAAGGCGCTATACAAATATCAATATGTATGTATGTATGCATCTATGGTGTACAAAGTGTACATCATTTTGCTGATGCAGTTTCTCTTGTATGTATATTTTTTAACAGGTATGCAAAATTGTTTTCCCTTAAATTGAATATTTGTTAAACAGTTGACCACTAACCTTGGCGGATGGATGCTTACTCATTATATTAACACAGTGTTAACACCCATTTCATCTCAGCACGCGATTCCACGATTTACCTATGTTTGAATTATGTACAACACCAATGGAATAAAATTTCTGTATTGTACACGTATAAAGACAATAAAACTATTAATCTTTCAATCATTATACGTCCATGTATGTTTTCTATATAAAACAACAGGCAGTGTTAGGATATATTGATGTCTCTTTGAAAATATGTTTTTGCGTTACTCAGTTTGAAGAATACACCCTTTCACTATCACACCTTAGAGACGTATTAGATGTGTTAAAACAGTCTTGCGGGGGAAGGGGGAAAAAAAGAGGACTCTGGTATCTCTTTGGGTAAACCTTATTATGTAGTTGTGAAAATATGTGAGTCCGCCATCTACGTTTATTTTAGTCCGATTTAGTCATGATGATGTAAAGGGTTGCACGGTTGACGCTTCAAACTGGTATACTTGCATCAAGCTTGATATACGTGTACGTAATTTGTTTCTTCTCTCTCTCTCTCTCTCTCTCTCTCTCTCTCTCTCTCTCTCTCTCTCTCTCTCTCTCTCTCTCTCTCTCTCTCTCTCTTCCCTCCCTCCCTCCCTCTCAAAAAGGTATGCATGATGCATATAATAAACCATGTCAATTCGTAATTCGGTGACTTGGAGTACTTACTCACAAAGTCGTGAAATAACCAACAGGTACACTTGTGAAAAAAGCACTAATTTAATTGACAGAAACAGGCAAATAATAACTCAAATAAAAGACACAACTAAATTTTAAAATGCCATCTTCCTGAATCTGAAGAGACTATCAGGGTCGTAGCTAGCGAGGCCACACACGTTCACACGCACCCACAAACACACATCCTTTTAGGTGGGGTAGCGTGAAAATTTACCCCCAGATAACAGGGCCCCCTAGTACGAAATTGGAAATTTCATGTAAATAATTTACACCACAACGATGTATAATAAGCTGCTCGTGCACTGAAATGCAAAGTTTCAGGATAAATTATATTCTCTAGGTCGCTACGCTCCTTCGAATAACATGAGACGCCGTGTTTGTTTAACACTGTAAAAGCTACGTCTACAAAAGACACCGAAAGCAGTGATGCTTCTATATATATCAATGGCAAAATAAATGTGTCCCCCCCCCCCCCATCAGTAAAACGATAAGCTTGCTAAAGGTCTGATTTGCAAAGTTTTATTATTCAAATTAGTGATATTCCTCGTAATAACTTGTACTAGAAGCAGTGACTCTTAGTACTGGAGAAACCCTGGCTCCTAGAGGCGCTAAATGTGAGGGGGAAACCGTTGCTCTTTCAAAGATTGGATCGACAAAATCATCTCTGTGTCATCCCCGCCCCTTATATTTCTCTTCTTTTTTTGCACATCTTTCTATAAAAGTAGGAGCCAATTTAGTTTATTTCCCATCCGATCCAGGATGAGATTTTTTATCCAACAATCTATTTGCAGTGTAACTATAGAAAATAGTTCTAGTGCTCTAAATTTGCTCCGTCTCGGTTTCTACGCTCCTCCGCGTATGTGTTGCGTTAAGGCGCCAACAACGAGGGGCAGATGTTTCACGAGGGGGGGGGGGGGTGGCGGTTAAATCGTTTTTGCCTCTTTACTAAGCCCCCAGTTTGCAATATTATAGCGATTACCATAATAGGAGTGCTGTATAAATTAAAAGTTTCAACTAGCAAGAATCTCTATTTTCTTGATTGCAGTGACCGATTTTGACCACTCTCGATGGGCTCCCCTTTTAAGACAAAGGCAAAATAGAGAAAACTTACGTGAAATAACTTGCTCTCTTGCTTTAAAATGCAAAGTTTCACAATTCCAAACATTAATTTTCTCGCTCGGTCGTTAGGCTCCCTCACCAAACTAAACAAACCCTCGATCACAATGCTCCAAATCGGGGGGGGGGGGGGGGTGAGGGCACGTGTACACCTCGACAAAAAGAGAGGACAATTCATTTTCCCGTCCCTCTCTGAGCGAGAAATAAAGAAAGATATGACATCAATCATTTTGCAGTATACAGTCATGAAAGAGATGCTCCGAAATAATTTACAGTTACAACATTCAGAACGGTACATTTTCTTACTCAGTCGCTATACTCAATTATGTTTAGAACATGTTCATGGAAGCTATTTGCCAATACTACAAAATCAAAATTCTACCAAGCCTATGGATATCAACTTCATGGTAGTGATAGGTTTTAATCTCAAATGTCACTCTTAACCCGCTACAAGCGGAGATAATTATTCAACCTGCTGATAATTTCCAAGCGATAATCAAGTCATAACTAAAGAGAGAAGGTGTAAGGTTAGGCCTGTTTCAAGCAACAAGCACAAATAATAAGGAGAGAGAAAGAAAAGAAAAGAGCGAAAGAGGGAGGGAAAGCGTGAGAGAGAGAAAGAGAGAGAGAGAAAGAGAGAGAGAGAGAGAGAGAGAGAGAGAGAGAAAGTGGGGAGGGAGAGAAATGGAGGGAGGAGGGGAGAATATACCCTGCCTGTCCATAGTAACTTATGTAACATAATTATGTGTCCTTTTTCCGAAGAAAAAATATTTGAAAAGACAGCACATACATGAGGTGCTTTTACGCACAAACACAATTCCAACTTGCAAACTAACCTACATCGTTAAATTTATCTGAAATTTTACTACGTAACATAACATTCGTCATGCGTTGTGGAATTTTCGTTTGTATTTTTAAAATGGGGAAACGGATGTGTTCATTTTATTTTGCGGGTGTTATGAAAAGAAGGATCACAAAGATATTTTTTTAGATTATTTCAACGATTTGGGTTTATTGCAAATACCATTGTTGAATTGATGAATCACTCCGATTGAATTAGTTTGATTTATTGGTATCCATTCATTGGTACTTGACGGTATTATTCCGTAAATTTGTCAGACTTTCCACTAATAAATCAGAGATGAATAGGGTAGGATTTATTTTGAAAATACTATTTTATGACCATTAATGGCCGTTTTCATTATTGTGGTAGAAGGGTACACTTTTGTTCGATTTTCACATGACTGTATGGCAGCATACATTGTAAAAGATAAAAAGGAAATGGAATAACAGTAAACATTTTAAAAAACAGGATCTAAATACAAGCAGGCCTACAAGAAAACTGGATAAGAAAATTGAAAACTTGGGAAAATTCTGAGAGATGTATTGTATTCTTACCCGTTAATCTACAAGATTCCCCACCAAGCTGTATGCATGAGAGAAGCATAAAGCAAGAATAATGTACAGTTTCTTATCACGACACGGGCGTCGCCATTTTCTTGATCATGTGACGTACTATGAGAAGCCGTTTATCAAGTAAATGCATTTAAATTTAGGGATGTTTCCTTCTCAGGTGTGTGTGGTTATGAAGCATTATATTCACCTGCTATTATTCTTTGTACCACAATTGCCAGAACGCAAATTACACAAATAAGTTGGTGCTCCTTCTTTTGGGTTAAACGTTTCTAATAATTCATCTATTTGTCAGCTGCTGTATTTTAGCTTTTTAAATTAAATGAATTACATTTGTTCCCCTGTTATATATTTTTCCCGAAATATAAGTTTTTACCTTCCCAGCTATGATTTCCCTCATTACAAATTGAAGGTTTTGTTATTGAATTAAAAAGTCTTTCTAAACAAATGTAGTGCATGCATGCATGTTACATGTACCACTTCGCCCGGGTACGTCACATTTTCAAGAAAATGGCTGCGCACATGTCATGCTAAATGGCATTACATCATGCCAATAATATCTTCATTTTATACCTCTTGTAAACTTTCGTAAGGAGTATTTTACATTAAAGGGCAAGAATACATCTCATTTTAAAAATACCTACACTACGTACTAAGCTGGAAGAATTGTTGAATATACTTTAATTTTTAGCCTATGTTATGTTTCACTCAATCATTGAGTTATTGATGTAGTACATTGCTATTATGGAAATAAAAACCTCGCTTGAAGATAAGAGAAAAAAATCTTTGGGTGAGGTTTCCTTTAAAGAAAATTCTGACTCTGATACAGTTATACTGTATAATTAAGAAGGGTATACACGTTTTCTCCCTATTAACATAATCGATATAATTATGCAATTCTAAGAGTAAGTCTTAACTTGTTCAACTATATACTTGTACCTTGCTATGCATTTATTGTTCATTAGCACCACGGTTTCATAAAAAGGCGTATTAGTATCACTAAATTCGAGACAAACATGAGAAAAACATGGAAATATAAATCAAATCTTTATCAACTTCGAAAAAACATATTTGCCCCTACCTCATTCAGAAGGACGTCTAAAACAGTAATGATATAATTACCGGATGTGGCTATAATTATGGTAAGGATTCACAAATATCTGAACAATTTGGATTTATACCGATTATCATATTTTGGATTATCAATTGATATCCTTGGGCGTCCTCTTTGGTTGAGTCTGTTATTTGAATCGTTAGAAAATAGCTTTGTTTAAACCATTATGACTCTTTCACTTATCCGAACAAATGAAAGCCACAATCTGACTATTGATGGGTCAAAATAGTTTTTGTCCCAAGGTTTAAGAGTATACCTCAGTCTGGTGCGGTTTCTCGCCTTCCATTATGTATGCTCCAAATACATATGGATGTTTGATTTTATAATGC